AGATGGTCCTCACTGCAGAACACAAGATCCAGGGGGCGTGGTTGGATTCAGATCCAACTCCTCCCACCTTACATATACCTAAACCAACCAATCTCCACCCCCTAGATGTGGATCCAACCACGCCCCCTGGATCTTGTGTTCTGCAGTGAGGGGCTACTGAAAAAAACTGTAAAGCTGCCACTTGTTTAAATAAAGTAATTCCGGTAACACTTTAGAATAGGGAACACTTATTCACTATTGACTACGACTTTTCCCTCAATATTCCTAATTTGCTGCTTATTAATAGTTAGTAAGGTAGCTGTTAAATTTAGGTATTGGATAGGATTAGGGATGTAGAATAAGGTCATGTAGAATAAGGCATTAATATGTGCTTAATTAGTACTAATAAATGGCTAATATTCTAGTAATATGCATGCTAATAAGCAACTAGTTAAGAGACCCTAAAATAAAGTGTTACCATAGTTGCCTACTAATTCATCACTTTCTTCTCTTCAGGGTCGCAGAACATTACGAGGACAACAAGATGTCTCCAGGAAACCTGGGCATTGTGTTTGGCCCCACTCTCCTGCGGCCCCTGGTGTCAGGAGATGTGTCGATGATCGCTCTGCTGGAAACCAGCTATCAGGCTCTTCTCGTGGAGTTCATGATCTCACACTATGACCACATATTCGGTCCCGCAACAAGATCCAGCACACCTCCTCCACCGCCTCCCACGGCACCCCTCCCAGACACCCCTCCCAGAGCCTCGTGTCCCTTGTCTCCTGCCAGCAGTTCCTCTCAGGACCCTGAAGCCGCGGGCAGGGAACGTCCACGCTCTCTGGAGGTAGGCAATAAGTACTTGATTTCACACAATCGCAGGCCGTGCTTTAAGCTGGCTGTTGTCATGACGATGCTAAAAGCTCACCTCAGGTGGACATGCTCATGCGGGCGAAGAGTTCATCTTGATCTGCTTGAGCCTGTCTTGCACCGCTTGGGCCTTAATTGTCCCGCCGTGCCCGTGGAAAGACCTGGAGGGATTAAACGCTTATTCTGTGAAGATTACTTTTGCTTGCCTGTGTGCTTGTGCTTATGTTAGAGCCTTACCTCTGTCGCACTCTGCTTTAGCTCCTCACCGAGTTGTTTACTACAGGAAAGCCTGGAGGATGCTAATAGTTATGCTATTAGACTAGTCTTCTCTAACTGGAACAGTTTAACCATCTAAGAATTTCTCATTAGCGAGAACCAAAACAGAGGTTCAGAAGGTCAACGTTTTCCACACGTTAAGATTTAGTTAGCTGCAAATGGTTTCTCACAAATACCATAGAACGAAACCAGCATATTTTATCAACACTGACCTGCATATATATGATATAATAAATCTTTATGCAAGAATTCTAATGCTGTAAAACTGACATAACAAGATTACCATTCAAAAAAGAAAAATGAATGAAGTCTCACCGAAACTGCATTTATTTGATCAAAAATACAGTAAAATCAGTACTATTGTGAAATATTATTGCAGTTTAAAATAACTTTTCTAATTGAATATGTTTTAAAATGTAATTTATTCCTGTGATGTAAATCTGAATTTTCAGCATCATTACTCCAGTCTTCAGTCTCACATGATCCTTCAGAAATCATACTAATATGCTGATTTGCTGCTCAAAAAACATTTATTATTATTAGCAATGTTGAAAACAGTTGTGCTGCTTCATATTTTTTGTTTTTGGAAACCATGATACATTTTTTAATTCTTTGATTCTTCAATGAATAAAAAGCACAAATGAACAGCATTAATTTGAAATGGAATTTTTTTTGTAACATTATAAATGTCTTTACAGTCACTTTTAATTAATTAAATGCATCCTTTCTGAATAAAAGTGACTTCTTACTCACCCCAAACTTTTAAACGATAATGTATGTAACAAGTTTTAACCAGAAATCTTAAATTCACTGAGACTTTATTTACACAATAATACTAAAATACTAAAATATTATAACATTACAGTAATGTAAAAATCTGAATGATCCTTCTGCCTTGTTGGCTCTCAAGTCAACGTATATTCAGAATTTTTATCATTTTAACAGAATCGCACTATCAAGAGAGAATCAAGTGAGGGTTATATTTCTGACAAGTCATCATCCAATGAAGCAATGGACCAGCTGAGCCCAGAAGCCATTGAGAGAGCAGGTAGGCGGGCTTTAAAAGACATTGACGCTCAATATCAGCTGGCTGCTTGCGCAAACTATTTGCTGTGTTTTTGTAGCATTGCCAATAATTTCCTTCCTGCTGTCATAAGCAAATCTATTTCAGTCAAACTTTTGACTACTATAAGATGCTCGAATATTCGACGTGTGACATTTTTCAAAAGCATTTTGATTATAAACTGGGCCTATATATATAATCTTTAATTATGAAAACAAAAAGTTTTGTTTATGATATAGTTGTTAATAAATGTCTGGTTTTTATCTGTATCTCTTCTAGTCCTGGCTATGAGGGCAACAGCATCTCCTCAGGTGCATTTGGAGCAGGCTGCAGAAAGTCAATTACAAACTCAGTCGAGGGCTCACTTCAGCAGGCAGCCAGTGAAGTACCACAGGCAGGGTTCGGCAGGAGCGCAATTACGCAAAGCAGGCTCTCAGTCACGGGACGAGGACGATTCTGGGAGCAGGGAAGGACTTGTGTCAAGAAGCGCAGACAGCAGTCGCAGCTCCTCTCCCGAGCCTGAGAACCCAATAAAAACTCACTGCCGATTACACGAGACCCCCGTCCCGCAGAGTAGGATTGCATACACCCCTGAGACTCAGACTGCACCTCATGCAGGGGTAAAAAGGACTGTATCGGATGAGGGGGTTAAAGCTGTAGCTTCTTCATTTAAAGAACATGTGGGACAAATGGGAAAACGAAATACCAACCAATCCAACAACACCCTGGGGGGGAGAGAGCGCCTGATCCGATCCTTGAGGAGGCGCCCGACGGAGGAGACAATGGCCCAAAATGTTCTGTCCGGACTGAAGCTTAAACGCAGTGATTCAGGGAAGGGCGAGCAGCTCCATTTTGTTTGACAGTGACTGAGACAATGTTTACTTAACTTCTGGGGTTCCTTAAACTGGAATACATCCCATTTTGGGCTGTAAAGTATTTTTAGTACAACTGTACATTTTTATTTTTCCTGCTTTGTGGCACATGACGTACGGTGCAGTTAAATCACAGTACAGATGGTAGTTCCCTCTCTCACTGGAAACTTGGCTCAGATTTACCTGTGTTTATTTGAGATACATAGACTGCCTGTCTTGTATAGATGTTTGATGCTGAATCATGAGTCCTTTGGGGATGAATATGCAATATATGGAAACAAAACAAAAAAAACTGTCTACTTACTGTTTTCAGATTCTTTAAAACCACATTATTTGAGTGTGTTTACATCCTTAACCAACAACACGTCTTTGTTTTCAGCATTTTATACTTTATAAACCCAGGTGAAAAAAAGTGTACTTGTACTTAAAGTGTACTCAACTGTGTCTGTTTCGGGACGCCATGAATATGAACTCAAATGCACTTTTAACATTTAGTTACCACTTGTAGTACACTTGAGTGTACTAGTGTATGAAAGATGTGTTCACTACAAGTGGCAACTAAATACATTTTTAAATACAGAGATAGTATGTAAAAGCGCATTTTAGTTCATATTCATGGTGTAGTAATAATAATAATAATAATAAAATAATAATAAAATTGTAATCCAGTTATCGCAAGCACCAGTGATTGGTCCATCCTGAACACGTGAGATCGCCGCGTTGCCTCAGCAGCTGTCTGGACAATAATTTACATCTAAATAACGTTAATAACTGGACATCGAGGAGTCATTGAAGAGAAAATCACACAGTGAGACTTTTTATTATTATCAGTAGGGAAAATTATTATTTCGAGCACATCAGGGCCTAATGTCACATGCTGATTGTCAATCTTACCTGCGTATTATTTGTATTTCATATAACTCTAGCTCGGTTTCTCAGCCCTAGCTGGTCCACTTTTCAGTTTAGCTTCAACCTTGATCAAATTCAACTGGTTGTAGCTTTCTAGTAATCCTGCAGACATCGATTAGCTTGTTCAGGTCTGTTTGATTGGGGTTGGAGCTAAACTGCAAAAAAAAAAAAAAAAGTGGCATATTATTTGGCACGGTTTGGCCACTAGATGGCAGACGCGATGCGCAATGCATTTGACGACATTTTCGAGTTAGAACATTTTAGCTCTTAATTGGCCATATTAATTACTTTAAAAAATGACCTGAACGTCCATATTAGGCATAGTTTTGTCAGCAGACCTGTATAAAGTAACTATTATTTCACTGTAGCTCTTGATACGGCTATATTAGCTACAAATTCATACTTATGTATAGATATTTGTCTTAATCATATATTCGAAATGTTTATATAAAATGAGCATTTTTATCAGGCTCCCATGGTTCAGTAATTTCACTTTAATGGCAATAAATAGTTTCCTTTCTTTGCCATTAAAGTAAAATAACTGAACACAAACATATAGGAGCATGATGGATGGCACTTAGAGGCTTTTGCATCTGAACTCTTCATACATATACATACATATATATATATATATACACACACGTTTATATACTTTTTAAATATAGACTACAAGTACAAATTACACATTTGATTATGTAGGCTATTTAACCTAACGCACATTATCCTGAAAGGTGGCTGATTTCAACTGTATAGAAATGACACGGTCCTTACATCTTTAACACTCGTTTGCTTGTTACTTAGTTACAAACCATTATTAGCCTACGTTCACAATATGTCTTTCATCTTAAGTCTAATGATCTTTACCTAAAGTCTGAGATTATTATATATATGCTATGCTATGACAGCTATAAGGAACTTGTCAATCTATTTGTTTAAAACAGCATATCAGCCAGAAAAAAAAGCAGTTCCTCTGAATCAAAAAGAGCGAGATACTCCTGTGTATATATTGTTTTCATCTTCTTGCACCCCTCCTTGATGTTTCCCTCCTTCATTGTGCGCGCGCAGCCCGAGTCTTCATCACATAAAGCGCCTGAACATCTCACACACGCGCAGTCTGGCAATGCTTTTGCGCCACTGCGTGCATTTTGGACTATAACACTAAAGTTTGGCTTCTGGAGCACTCTTGCCCGTCCTCTTCTTCAAAGGTGTTTTGATGTTACCAACAGAAATCTCAGGAGGAGTGTGTTTCAGCACTAGGTAAGTGCACGGGACTGAGCATCACCTGCTGTCATCTATGACACTCTTGATACTTGAACTTTGCTTAGTGTGTTCACATAGAAACATGCATGATCATTTCTCATGACTTTTACATATGTATAGCCATATTGTCTACTGTAATCTAGGCTGCATTTGACAGAAATGCGAAGTTTTGCTGCGCTGGTGTTAATGAATTTATTTATGCATTCATTTATTTTCATCGAACATAGCCTATTTATGTCTGATACTTTAATAGGTCTGCCGTATCTGTATTTGGTAAAAACCTGAGCCTATATTTCATGAGTTCAGCTTAGGCCAGATGATAGGAAAAAATTACGGACGCGTGTCAGAATTTTAATTAAATGTAAGTAACATTTACAAAAAAAAAAAAAAAATGTGTGTAGGCTAATTGTGCAGAAAATATAAAATATCAAACTTTAAAAAAATAGTTAACTCTACGGTAGCCTACTTGAGTGTATTACAGGCAGCAGTTTCTGTAAATTTATAAAATGGTTTGGTTTCGAGTAAAAAATTAGGATTAAATTGACATCATAATCGAAAGCGCCGCTATTTCAGACATAGCCTAAAAAACTATTAATTTTGATCATATTTACGTTTGCATTTGATATCGCGCCACAGAACACTGACATTTCTTGTCATGAGCATCTTCGAATGAAAATGAACACAACTTTAATTGAAACAAAATGAACGCACATCAAAATATCAAATCATGAAATCATCAATATCAAATTGCACCAGTTTAGTGTCGTAATAGCCTAGGCTAAGTTATTTACTGAAATACTTGGAATGATAAGTTGATTTTTTTTCAGCCGCAATCATCAGAATTAGGCTATTCCCTTTATACGACGACAGGTGGGCCATATATTGTAGCCCACGCAGCCTACATTTAACAGACGGTATTAAAAAAGGCCTATATTTTCGATAACGCGTATAGATAGCTCCGAGAGAAAAAATAAATAAATACATTTATATATTTATATTTATATATATATATTAGCCTATATTTTTAAATATGTAGCCTATATAAGATGCTCATGCTTCCACATAAGCGCGAATATCGCAGTGTGATTATTCCTCATTGAGGCGGATGGCCCGTTATTAGCTGTTGTATTTTTAATAAGCTAATTGACTCGTGCAATTAACTGCATTATTAATGGGGAAAGGGATCAGACACGCAGTGTGTGATTTCTGCTATTAGAAGAAACAAAATTCAACTTTAAATTTCCAAGGAAAAGGTATTTTTGAGAGGCAGATATAATAGCAATAATAGCCTAATAATTTAACCACCAACAAAGATAATAGCCGAGTTAAAAAAAAAAAAATGTAACCTGAATATTCTAAAAGCAAAGTAGGCAATAAAATAAATTCAGATTTTGATTTCCCTCTTTTTCCAAATAAACCAAACAGTGTAAATCTCAAATGCATATTTATTGTGAAAGCTTCTGTTATTCTAAATTACAATAATCACAACCGTCATCCGTTATTATTTCTGAGGCAATAGGCTTCCTGTTTTAAATCAAATCGTTGGATTTGATGTTTTTGCGTTGTGTCGTTTGCCAAATTTTTTGTGTTTTGTGTTTTTTTGCGTTTGTGAGCGGAAATGTGGCTACCGAAGCCGCGCGCCTTATACCGGACAATTCACCTGCTCGAGCTTCTGTTCTGACTGAGCACACAACACACCCAGCCGGCTCATGCGTTCATTAGACACTTTCCCTTTTATAGAGCGAGATCAAATAAAAGAAGTTACGTCTTTCTTAAAACAGATAGACTACGAGAGAAAGAATAGGCTACATTGTAAATAAATGTTACATTTACGGTCAAAGATAAAAGTTGGCAGCGTCGACGCAGAACTTGACATTTTTCCAAGCATTGCGAGATTACATGTAGGCCTATATTGTAGCTTGCTGTTTCTGACTTTACTTGTCGTTAAATCATATAATATCAGTATATATACCAACATATTTGACCTATTCAGATATTGTTTCTTTTGTAAAAACCTAATGAGAAAAACGGTGACTCAAGTTAAACAAAACTGGCTTCTGCAGCGATCGTGATAAAGACACGAACACAAACACCTTAACTGTTACACATATGACTAAAATACTGCAGTAAACATGAATTAAACTACATGCAATGCAATTTAAAACACTATACATAATCGATAACAAAATAAATATATATATATAGGCCTATTTGAATGAAACATAAACAAATACGATGCTTCTTGAAAGGAATTCTGGGGACACCCTTTTCCCCATAAGCTACAAGACTTTATTTTTTACTTATAAAAACATAATTTACAGAAAATGGCATGTAATGTTATTTTCAAAATATATATTTTTCGTATTAGCCCTTTAAAAAAAATTAACATGTTTTACCATGCACATTAAAATGGGCCCAAACAGGACCTGATTTTGGCTTTTACTAATGAAACTAATGATGCTATGTTTCCTCACAGATTATTGTCAGTATCTTCACAGTAACATTACATTACAGTGTGCTTTTTACCCACATTACATGTAAATATAACAATAAAATATGGTAACAACATTGAGCAATTACAAGCAGCTTACAATAGTTCCACATTATCACAGACCGATTGCTGTCTTTAAATGTGAGTCTTTGTTATGTTGTTGTTTTTCAGTCAGCACTCCAAAGAAGGAAGGAACGGAATGAAAACAGAAGAAAACCAATCATGCCTTCAGCAGGCCCCCTCCGCCACACCTTACGGTGAGACTCTTATTCTTCATTTATCATTTCTTTCCATATTAATATCAGTGCTGTAATGCGTGGGTCTCGAGTCCCTCATGGTACGTTTGTGTGTGTCCTATCAGCTGACACCTGTTCTGTTCTCCTCCACCAGAGCACGTGGGAGGAGGTGAGGTGTGTGCAGGGTGCAAGTCTCCCATCGCGGACCGCTTCCTTCTGCGCGTCAATGAACTGTCCTGGCATGAGACGTGTGTCAAGTGTGCAGTGTGTCGCAGCGCGCTGAGCGGGACCTGCTACTGTCGCGACCGCTTGCTTTACTGCAAGCATGATTACGAGAAGTAAGACAGTTCCATGTGCAACGTGTGTCTGTATACACTCCATCAAAGTCCTAGTATGGCAGAGAGTGTGTAGATTAACATGAAGCACACCAGAACATTCCCCTGATCTCTCTGCTAATGCCTCATGGGTGTGCTGATCTTCTGATCATGCTGATGCTCTGTTGTGAAATATAAGGAACTTTGGTTACACTTTATTTGAAGGTGTCTTGGTTACACACGTTATGTGTACTTGAAAGTGAAAGTGACGTGACATGTGGCCAAGTATGGTGGCCCATACTCAGAATTAGTGCTCTGCATTTATCCCATCCAGAGTGCACACACACAGCAGTGAACACACACACACACACACACCGTGAACACACACCCGGAGCAGTGGGCAGCCATTTTTTTGCTGCAGCGCCCAGGGAGCAGTTGGGGGTTTGGTGCCTTGCTCAAGGGCACCTCAGTCGTGGAATTGAAGGAGGAGAGAGCGCTGTACATTCACTCCCCCCACCTACAATCCCTGCCGGTACGAGACTCGAACCCGCAACCTTTGGGTTACGAGTCCAACTCTCTAACCATTAGGCCACGAATAGTAATACTTACTATTATAATAACAATCAATTATGCATAATTACATGCAAATAATCCTAACCCTAACCATATAGTAACATGTAGTTAATTAATATTACTCAGTACTTAAATGTATAATTAAACTGTAACAAAGACACCTTAAAATAAAGTGTAACCCTTTATTGTAAGGTATTGCAATTGCGGTGTAAATACACAAACAAGTACTGAGTAATATTATCTTGCTTAGGGTTAGATTTAGGATTGGTTGCTATACTATAGTGTATTGTATTTTTAGTGTACTATATTGCTTACTATAGTAAGTACATATAATGTGTAACAAGGACACTGTAAAATAAAGTGTGACTGGAATTTACCCTTCACAGGGAGTGTGACTGACAGACGATCTGACCAATCATAACGCAGAATCTGCCAAAACAAACCAGACAGTAGAGTAGATTAACGTCGGTGTACTTGAACTTGAACAACGGTGTATTGACGTCTTTCCGCGGTTGAAACAAGATACTTTCTGGTGTTCATTCATGTTTATTTCGCGCTATAACTAGTAAAGAGGAAGAGATGATCGCTTCACACGTACAGTAGCTTTAACTGAATTTCTTAATAAATGACAAAAACTGACAGCTGAGACTTTGTTTCATACCAGAAGTAACCTGCTCTGTCTTGTCTGTTGGCCGGCGTGTTGTCAGGTTTCTCGTTGCTCCGCGATGTATTTTTCACTGAGAACATGATGTGTGGCGTGAGAGTGGCATGGCTTGTCGGACATAGCAACAGTAACTAAGGGGGCTGGTCTTTGCGGAGGGTCAATTTCTGTTAGAATGTGTAGTTAAACATTGGTGACGGTAGGTTTAATTGATGTATGTGTAATGTTGTAGGTTTGAATCTGTTTCTTAAAGGCATAGTTCAACCCAATTATTAGGTATGTTTACTAATTTTTGTAAATCGGAATGAATCCAGTCTGATTTCAGATTCTTAAAGTTCGGTTTATGTGAACCCTAAATTTTGCAGTTTGGTTCATATATTTGATTACATGTGCATTACATGTATTCCAAACAAAACCTCAGCACATGCAGAGCTACCATGAGTATAACTGTCATTTTTGCCTTGAATGACATATATGCCATAAGAGCTTTTTTGGGGGGAATATTTATTAAATATTCAGTCTCCTGCACTAATTAGTTCATAAGACTAAATAAGCACAAGCAGCAATGCCAAAGGCATTTTTGAATCCTGAGAAGATAGAAAATAGAGAAAATATATTTAAGCATTTACACGCTTTAAGTTTTCCTTTTAATTGGTTTATTTTAGGTTTACACCACCCATTTGAATCTGATTTTACACATATGTTCACTGGCTGTTTGAGCCATCAATCTGATTATAAATGGATTATTGTACAATCTTATTCCAAACCCAAATTTGGTTTAATTCTGTGGAAAACAAATGTGAAGAACCAAAAAATAAAAACAGTACATGTGCACAAAGTCTTTGGAATAACATGATGGGTAAATAATGACAGAATTGACATTTTTGGGTGAGCTATCCCTTTAACTGCTGGTTCTCTGATGAATCATTCTGTATCAGTTTGGGTCAGAGGGAGATTCCGAGAAACCATCATTTCCCAGTGACATCAGCAGGAGTGCGGACAGTTGAAGGACGATTTTGTGGCCTGCTATCGCTGTTGTGAGAAGTGTCAGACACCGTTGAGCAGTGTGGACACTCCCTGTTGCTGACATCTGGAGGCCAACCGAAAGGAATAAGATGGACAGGAGAGAATAAAAGAGGAGAGAAAAGTTAGCAGGAAGAATTCCCCGAGGGAATATAAAATAATTCTATATATGTTCCTGGAAAGATAGATCACCTGAGATCCAGGACTGTTTCAGGGCATGAAATTACCATACTAACTGCTTTTCTTCACACCGCTGAAGAAAAATGGGACCATAGATTTGATAATTGTTTTGCATGGGTGCTTGCAGCAATGATGTCATAATGAGGGTAAAAGTGATCAACGATTACAAATGAGATGGCTGTTCTGGGATCAGAGCGCAGAGAAACTGTTCTTGTGCAAGCTGGTGCTGCTATTCCCTTGAGCTTGGTCCGTTTGTATTATTTGAATTCATTAATTATTTACATTCAGCCTTTTTTTACTATATGGTGGAGATTTAAGTTTCTCTCATTCTCTCATAAGCATTTTTGTTGCGCTTGAATGCAGACATTATTTGTGAATAATGAGGCTGCGGCGTGGTATGTGGTGTATTTATGGAGGAGACTTGGCACACTGTTGTGTGGGTGACCTTGAGTGAATCCACAACAATATCTCCTTGTGTTCTCCGCTGTCTGTCCGTCAGCACCCACCCTTTACCAATGCTCCATCTACAGCAGGTGTGCGCTCCATTTTTGGGGTGCCAAGGAATCTTTGATGGTGCAAAAAAAAGAGTAGACAGAAAAAAGACTTTCTGTAAAAATATATCGTCAGGTAATGTAAAAAAAAAAAAATGTGCACGTGTGGAAACGCATACATTTCCTAATTATGTTAAATTAGAAAGTATTATTTAAAATAACTGAATCATTACACCAGCAAAATTAATTTATAAGTCAGGTAGAAATAGCCACACTCATAAAAATAAAGGTTCCAAAAGAGGTTTTTCACAGTGATGCCATAGAAGAACCTTGGTTCCTCAAAGAACCTTTCAGTGAACATTTTTAAAAAGAACCACTTTTTTTTCTCTGAATGTGAAGAACATTTTAATAATCTAAAGAACCTTGTTCCACTAAAAATAACCTTTTGTGGAATGGAAAGATTCTTCGGGTGTTAACGGTTCTTCATATGTTTAAGAGTGCACTTAAAGTCAACATTAAATGGCATTCACATCCCATTTTAGTTTCGTATTATGACATGTTTCCAAGTAAAATAGTGTATTCAGTGAGAAAAAAAGATGTAGGGCAGTATCTTTCATCGCATATTAAAGTCAAGATGAAATGGAAGTAGCAGCAGCTCGATTCTTCCTTACTGTAATGTACGTCTGAGTCAAATGAATTATCGAAAAAAAAGAAAAAAATGTAAGGCGGGACTTGGTTCTGTTTATCAGGTGTTGATTGGATGGAGGCAGGTGTGAAGGAGAGTTAAACAGACTAAATGATTGGAGAAGACTAGCATACATCAATCAAAAAGAAATCTGTAATTTCACTAGAAGACTGAGTTATGAAATTTTTATTATTTTTTTTAATGAAATCATATGCACAATAAGATCGATAACATGCATTTAGAAAATGGCTACATTTTCATTTCATGCCAACTTCGGCTCACAAAAAGTGGATGTTAAATACCAAAATGTAAGGAGTTGTAAAAAGGGATGATTTCAGATTACATTTTAATGAAATATTACTAAGACCAGACATTTTCCACTTAAAATAATGTACGCAATAAGACAACGAACATGCGAACAGCATCAGCTTTAAGATCACAACTGTATGACGATTCCTTATGCTCCTGATGTTCTCGTCATCAGAAATCTGACTTTCATTTACTACTAATTTTTCAGTCATTCAAGCAACACCTATTCACTTACCGAAAAACCAAACGCAAAGCCAAATCCCTATTCATTAAACCCACAAACATTTGCTAACATCCCTGAAATGGTCAAATTCTCTCCATCACTGTCTTCCTGGCTGACTTCGACACACACAGCCATCAGATAACCACGCAGCCCAGCCTAGTGAAACCAGTCCCAGACCAATAAAGGCTCTCAGCCCCAGGGTACGGTGCCTGGATCGCTGGCAGAAAATTAGACTAGTGAGGGTCTCGGAGGCCTATCAGAGCGGATATTTAAAATGCCCCAAGTTTAATAGATCACTCTGCGGGGTGGGAAACAGAACGAAAACAGCCCCCAGTGTGTAAAGAGATGCTAGTAAGAACGAAAAATCACGAATGTGAGCTCTTTAATATCTCACTTGTTTCTCCTAGCAAACTGAGATTTTGGCTAAAGTCTCATGCTTCTCAGACTTTGCTCCTGAGAAAAAGACCCAATTATATCGTGTCTTTTAGAATTTTAGAAGAGGTCTCAAAAATGTCCTGAAATGTGCCTGGATTTGTCCAAATATCAAAGTCTGTAATCAATAATCATTTATTCCATTTCAATTTATCATAGGGATTTTTTATAGTGCTGTCAAACGATTAATCGCGATTAATCGCATCCAAAATAAAAGTTTTGGTTTACATAATATATGTGTGTGTACTGTGTATATTTATTATGTATATATAAATACACACACATAGAGTATATATTTTGAAAATATTTACATGTATGTACATGAATATATTTATATTCATATAAATTATATATATATAAATATATTTAATATATAAACGTAACATATTTTTCTTAAATATATACCTGCATGTGTGTGTATTTACAGTATATATACATAATAATAAA